TTATTTTTACTTCCCACTGTATGAAGTTCTGTATGAGATCAGTATCCTCAGTGAGGTTATGTAACTTTTGCAATTTGAGGTAGGTTGTTGGTGGCTCATTTCCTTTTCTTTCCCAGTGAAAATATTTGCAAGAAGAGTGGAAAGTGACCAATTATGATAGCTGATGCTGTTGTTAGTAACGTTGTCCACATGGCGGCTGTATTTGTGTTGTGTGGCGTATGTGTGTACATGGTGGGGCAGCTGGGGGCTGGTGCTCTGAATGTTAATTCTGAAGGTTACCCCTGACAGCAGGAGAGCACAAGTCATTCTGGAATCAAAGAAACCTGAGCAGAGCTCAATGGCCACTAGGTAGACTGTGTGCTGTTCTTCCTGTCTGTTTTCCTGTTTTCTTCTCTTCAGCCCCAGGGGTAGGAGTCCCCAGCCTTCTGTAGAGTCAGAGCATCACCCTTGCCCCATGGGAGAGTGGCTTGGCGGGGGAAAGAGGCGGGGCTTCCTTCCATCCCTGTCTCCTTTCCCAAGCCTATTTCTGACACCAGGCCTTTGCATTGTCCATCCTCAACGATCTTACAGCTTCAGGGAAATAAAAGTCAGCTCTTCATAAATGTGGTGGACATCTTTTGTTTTTGTTTAGACTCAATGAGCCCTAAGGGTACATTTTCAAAACCCAGTCAAGTAGCAGGCAAGTCGCTGGGTTAAAAAGGCTTAACAAACAAACAACCTCAGTGATAATTAGCAGTGCTGCTTTAGGGTCACAAATTTTCTAAAACTAGAAATACTTCCCTAAAGCATCCCATTTTCCTGACCTTTGTTTCCCACCCTCAGACATCCAGCTGACTCATCAACTCACTTCACTGTGCTTTTCGCGAGTGGTGCCAGGGTTGCGTTCACCCTCCGAGTTACAGTAGGAGAGGCACAATGGCTGCGTTTCATTCAGTGAAACGTCTATTGTGTGAGTGTCTCTATTCCCCTTTCACTGGGCGATCTCCAGAGACTGTGTGCTGGAATGTGCGAGGGGTGGGCGACTGCGTGAAGCTGATTTTGCTTTCTTCATTTTGGACCCAATCACACAAAATAGCAAAGCGTTTGCTCTGCAGAAGACTTGTCTTTTGTCTCTGTCTCCAAGGACTTCTCAGGGTTATCTTTCCATCCTCCAACCGGGCGTGTGTCCCCAGGAGCCACCTGAGAGTGGCAAGCCCAGCACAGGCAATACCTTGAAAACCTCGTGCCTCACTGCATTCCCCCACCCTGGGCATTCTCACAGTGGCCTTGGCACCCAGAAGTCACACTAGCTGAAAGATTTGTTTTCCTAAAGGCTGGGGGAGGGAGAGTGGCCGTGAGGCAGCAAGACAGATTACTCATCTTTTTCTGCAGCTACGTGAACAGCTGAATCACCGAAGCTGAGGCCAGAACCATCCCTGTAAAGACTGATCTTTTGAGTGATGAACATTTTCTTTTCTTTTTTTTTTCCTAATAGAAAGTTGGCTAAGAATTTTGGCTTTAGAACTCCATTGTTTTCCCATGCTGAAAGAAGGTTTCAGATGCTTTTTGCGTTCCCCCACCCCCACCCCACAGAGAAACCTTCTCTGCTACCTCAAATCCCGCTTCTTCTCTTCCTCATTAATTGTATGAAAACTGTTAGTGGCGGTGAATTTTCCTTAAGAAAATGACTGCCTGTGAATTTCGTGTTCTAGGTGGCTGACTTGACGAAGTTTAGCTCATTACATCTTGTGTAAATGTTTCTTATTTGTGAAGTTCGCTCCCAAACTGGGGTTTTGAATAACTGATCTCTGTGAGACAAGTGTGTCCATCGTCCCCACTCCCTCACAGAACTGGGTGTGACTAGTCAGGTTTCAGACACAGTGGACCATATGTGTGTGTGCTGCAGCCCAGGGGCGCTTGTTAGGCTCAGACATCCATGGTCCCTGACGGAGATGCCCCAAGGGGCATGGGTTGCAGACACACACACCCACTTCCCGCTCCCCTGCTCTGCGGCTGTGAGAGGACCCGGGGCATCGGCTTTCAGCCTGGTGCTGAGGAGGCGCTGATTTAGCCCATCTGGCTACACGGGGATCTCCTTCCTTCCCCTTTATTCTGACATTGGCCTGAAAAGCGTCAGGTTGGCTGCATATATTTTGAACTCCCACGAAGACCATACGGTCTCTTGGATTCAGCTTTCAGCATTTTTATCAGTCAGCACTCACTGAGCTTTTGCAGTCCTGTGACTCAGTGCCATCACAGCTCCCCTGCGTGGCGGAGTGGGGGACCTCCCCGAACTGTGAACACACTTGACATCCCCATCTCTCTCTCAGGTTCTTACCTCTGGCTGGAACACCTTGATGTCAGGGCCATTGTTCAAGATCAACTCAAATGTCACTCACTTGATAAAGCCTCTGGCCACTTGGAGGTGTTCCCTTTCCTTTGAACCTCTGTTATGCTCCCTCTGACCTTTGTTATTCATTCATTCAAAAAAAGGTTTATTGATGCCTTGTACGTACTGGGTTCAGGATATGTCAGTGAACTAAGCAACAGAGATACCGCCCTCCCTCCCTTCTGTGTCACTCATGCAGCTTACATTCTCGCTGGGGGAGAGGGCGTACATACCCAGCACAGACACTACACAAGTCAGTTATATAGCATTTTGGAAGGGGATGAGTAGAATGGCATGGGGAAAGGAAAAAGACAGCAGGGTCGGGTGGATCAGAAGTACAGGGCACAGGACCCGGTGCGATGCAGTGCCTAGTAAGTAGACAGGCCTCAGCGACACTCCCCGAAGCTGGCCGAGTGGTCCTAGTCATTTGTGTGTGTTCCTTCTTCTTCTTTCCCAGCTGAAGGGACAGGGACTGGGCCTCCTCATTGATCTGTCTGCCAGCAGCACTTAGCATAAAACGCCTCTTGTGTGGTTGGTGCTCTGTCGACAGCTGGTAAAATGGGAGTGAATGTGGAAAAGTGAATTTGAAGCCAAATAAACTCTTATTTTTATTTTTTTTCCAGTTCTAATGAGTGATTTATTTATTTATTTAGTAATTTTTTTTAATTGAAGTACAGTGAATTACAGTGTGTCCATCTCTAGTGCACAGCACAGTTTCCCAGTCATGCATATACATACATATACTCATTTTCATATTTTAATAAACTCCTTTCTTATTTTTGCTTTTTTCCTGCCCTTAAAAAAAGACTTTATGATAAATCGGTGTTTCAGAATCTGAGATTCCTTCCTTATTTACTCTTTTTTTTTAAGACAAATTTGTCACTGGACCTCAGTGGGTACAGGGGTTTTGGAAAGCATTGATCGATACCTGGACTATTTTTGCATGAAATAGTACAATTCTAACATACAGATTTCAATTATGTTTAGAAGAGCACAGAAGACCATAGTTTGTTTACTGCTTTGGCCAGCTTTTTGCTCTAAAATAATCATTTTTTTTAAGTAAATAACTTTGGGGACCAAATAAGGGAAAACATTTAAGAGTATATTTTATTATCCGTGTGGCCATGAAAAACTCCAGAGTCTGTTGACAACCTCCATATTTAATTAGCTTTCAGTTTACAAATAGTTCTCAAGTGAAATAACATTATCCCAGGGCACAGCGATACCTAACCTGGATTGTGAAGATCCGGGTGTCACGTGAACGAAGAATGTGCATGCTACATGCATTTCAGCTCTTACCTAAGGTTTGTTTAGAGATTATGGAAAATCAATGCAGAATAACTTTCTGGGCTGCATTTGGTCCATATAACTGGGTCTTGAATCCAAAAAAAGATCTAAGGCTGCTGTTGATCCAGTGCTTTCAGCTGCCCAATTTAAAATGTAAATGGCTGCTGCGGCAGATAAAATTCTCCCTTGAGAGCGTCGAAGCTCTGTGTAATTTAGAGTCCTGAGTTCTATACTGCATCCACCAGGCGAAGAGTGTGTCATAGGTGGTTAGAATGTCAGCATCAGGAGGCCCCTACAGATAACCTAGTTCATTGGTTTTCCACCTGCCCCAGCTGAGTCCTCCTGGGAGCCCTGCATGGGGAGGGAAAAGGCTCTGAGTTACCCAACCCCAGTCGCATGCCTGTTCTTCAGTGCACCTTGACTGGCTTTATTGTCTTTAGGCTTTTTTGTAAGAGTTTGTATGGAGGAAGGGTTCTGAGGCTAAACATACTTCGAAAGAAATAGTTTGATCTTGCATGGCTTATTCATTTTCCAGGTAAAGACGCAGCTGCGTGGAGAAGGTAAGACACACTCGAAGTGGTGTGTACCGCCGTTGTGACAGCCGTTGGAATAAGACTCTCTGGGACTGTTTCCTTATGGGTCCACCTCGTGGGCTTAGTGTGGGAATCAAATGGGACAGACCAGGATGCACAGTGGATAAGAGGGTGTACGTTTAATGCATTAGCTAAATGTAAAGTGTTACTTACCATGTTCTCTTTTCTACCACCAGAGCAATCATGCAGCTTGTCAGATTGTTCCAGGGAGCCCTGGGGATCATTGTAGGAGGCTTAGGGAACCTCTCTTCTTTAGACAAAGCATCTTTCCTTTTATCTGCCTTCTAGGTTTAGGCATCCAGGTAGTTTCTTTTATAGTTAGGGCTCTATAACCTTTAAAAAGTTTGAAAGCCGCTGATCTAGAAGGATTTTTGCAAATAAATAGCTATGCTTGTTTGAAATGCTGGTGGCCATCTGTGCCTATTGAAATGACTAGATTCAGATTATTTGGGGCAGAGATTGGCGGAATACCTAGTTCCGGAAGATGGACCACTGCAGATGTAAGCATTATGCACAGACTGGCTTGAATCAAAGAGACTGAAAACTGAGAGAGTGACAAGACTGAAGCTCACTGTGGAAACCTTTGAGCTGCGTTGAGATGTGCCGTGTCTTTTAAGTCTGGGTGCTCCCAAGGTCTTCTGTTTCTTGGCTCAGTTTGTAACCGATGCGGCGGTTCAGTGTAAATACCAGGGTAAAAACTAAGTGGTACCTGACAGGTGATGGCCCTTTCTTTCCTGTCTTCATTCTTTTAGTGCACTTACATTTCAATCGACCAAGTTCCCAGGACCCATGCCATTGTGATCAGCAGACCTGCCTGGCTTTGGGGGGCAGAAATGGGAGCCAATGAACATGGAGTATGCATCGCCAACGAAGCCATCAATGCCAGAGAGCCAGCCAGTGAGACGGAAGCCTTACTAGGGATGGATCTGGTCAGGTACTGCGTGGTGGTTCTTTGCAACAACTGCCCAGAACAGGTGGGGGAGGGGGAGGGGGGCATATCTCCCTCCAAACCTCATACTTGGTCACGCAGTCCTTCCAGAGAAGCCTTGTGCCTTTTGGTATAAACTTAGAGGTGATGGGAAAAAGAATAAATCACAATGGAATATTATTCAGCAATAAAAAAATCAGGTACTGATACACGCTCTAACATCATGAATCTTGAAAACACTACAGTAAGTGAAAGCAGCCAGACAGAAGGTTGCAGGCTGTATGATTCCATTTCTATGAAACATCCAGAATAGACAAATTCATAGAAGCAGAATGTAGATTGGCAGTTGCCCGGGGTCAGAGTCGGGGATGGGGAGTGATTCCTAATGGATATGGGGTGTCTCTTTGGTGTATTAAGAATGTTCTCTCCCAACAATCCAGGGAAGTAGACCTGATTACTTCTGTTTGGTAGACGAGAATACAGGGGCTCAGAGAGGTTAAGGGACTTGCCCGAGGCTGCAGAGCCTGGTGCGCTGCGGCCGCTCACCTCAGGGAGGCTGCTCCTCTCTGTAACAGATGCCACGTTGCTTCCCTTTGCCAAGAGACAGGAAGCTCTGGACACCAAGAGATGGAGGTTAGTCAAAAGGTTTTACACACCCTTCTCCCAAATCCATGCAGCCCTTAACATCCACTTGCTTCCCTCCTGCTTCCATCCCTCTGGCTGGAGGCTGGGACTCTTTCAATGTCCAAAAAGTCATAAACTGAGAAGGGCCTTGCAGACCCCTGGATTTGTGGGGAAGAAGGAAGGTTATTTGCATCTGCACCCCTGGGAAACCCCAGGCTCATCCCTAAAGGAAGAGGCGAAGTGACTATTTTTATGGCTTTCCCCTAGACAGTAATTATATATCCACAGTAATTCTAGTTATAACTTTTACCTTCATTGGGGTACAAGGGCACAGGGGTCTCCCTAATCAATGGAGGTACAGATGTTGAAAAGACAAGCAAGCAGAGGTCCTGAACATGGGCTCCCAGCAGGGGAAGTGCAGACGGTCCTCGTCTTCCTGGGTGAGCTGTGTTAACATTTCTGAAATGGACACAGTGAGCTTGACAAACCGGTGAGAGAGTCAGGAGCCCCAAATAGGAATCTTCTCAGGGAGTTCCCATAAAAAATAAGGATCTGAATTTGGGAGCATGTAACTCCAAGACCCAGAACAACATGGACCAAGTACATACCTTGGAAGGACTTGAATTGTGCTAAAGGTGGATGTCAGAGTGAGACCCTGACCTTGGCCTAGTTAATTTCATCCCTTTTCTTGCACCAGTCCAGCTGGTAATGAGGTGTAGCAGCCAAAGTGAAAGTAGGTGTGGAGGCCAGAAAGGCTGTGTTCCCATTTTGAACCACATGAACCTGCCGCATCTAGGAGGTGGAACTGTCGAGACAGGCTTTAAAACCGGCCTCTTGATGCTCTGACTTGGCCTGGATCACTGCAGCCCTGCTGCATCCGTACCTCTGAGTCTCAGGTGGAGAGGGTGTAACCCCCCCCCACTGTCATTCACAGCCCTGGTGCTGTGGAGCAGTGGTCCTGTTCTCATCCAATGGCAGGAGACCACGTGGGAGTGGAGAAGTGGGACGAAGGAGTGTCTTTTCCCTGTGGTCCTGGCACAAGGGGGAAAGTCAGAATCATGTCTGTGGATGATCACTGAGCCTGGGCACCCCCCCCACCCCATCCCTGATGCTGTGCACAGCCAGCACCAAAGTCGGCGTGGGAGGGCAAGTGGGGGCAGTGCGGGTGCTGGGAATCTCAGTGTGGGACGCCAACAGGCAGAACAGCAAGCGAGTGAGTGAGAAACTGCAAAAGAGAAGTCTCGGCCTCTAAAGGTGGTGCTGTTGCCCCAGGCTAGTATTCACAGGCTCCCAGCATGTGTTTGTTTGCAAGTTGGGGTCTGGCAAAGGCCCTGGACACAGGGTTCTGCCTGGAATAGGTACGTGAGGCAGTGTGACCGGAGCCACCGGGGAGCTGTGGTAAGAAGGAAGGGCCCCCTGTGTGCCCAGCTCTGGGCCAGGAGAGGTACTCATAGCACAGCGTTTGCTCTGGATCCTCAAGGTGAGAGCTTGTTTCTGCTACTTCTCTTTGGAGAACATGGCACCAACCTACAGAAGAGTCGACTTAATTCAGTCTTCTAATGAATTCATCCTTTTCTCACTCCGCTAAGGTCTCAGGCTTCAGCCTCTCCAAGCATTGCCTTGTCACCAGGTCTTCCTAAGTAAGCTTAAACTGAGAAATGCCAAATGAATGGACGTATAATGATCTATGAAAAGACGCCTTTTGTAAGGATACGTCCTTAGCGGGTAGTCGCATTGTCTTCTTTTCTCCCTGGCAGCACAGGGAGACGCTCTGCAGGAAGAATCAGGCTGGGTGAATTTCTATAATGATTGCGTCTCAAGTTGAGAACTTACCCGGAACTGGCCTGTGCTAACATCTTAGCGGGCTCCATTGCCACTGTCCTAAGACTCCGTGCTCCTGCCAACAGAAATACAATTTGAATGAAGAGATGAATAAATAGATATTTACTAAGTATATATTTTGTGCCCTCCTCCTTCAAATCAGCCTGAGAGGGAAGGTGTGCTGTTTTTCACCTTACAGATGAGACAATCAGGGTTCAGAAAGCTTCCATGACTAAGATCATCCTGCTGGTGGGCAGCAGCACCAGAACTGGAAGCGAGGCCCCTTTGTCCCCGAGTCACTTGTTTCTCTGCCTCACTCTGCTGCCTCTAGAAACTTACTGACCACGTCCTTGGCCCTGGGCCCTTGCACTCTGTATGTTCATGCTCATGTTCATGATCTCACGAAACCCATCCTCATAGTACTCAGTGATGGAGGGACTTATTTTAGAGAGGATATAAAACTGAAGTTCAAGTATATTATGTAACCTGCCGCCCAAGACCACCCAGAGGGCAGTCTTCTGTGTCCTCTTTCAGGGGTTTATGAATTGGGATCGCTGGGAGGAGATTGCTGTTTCACTTTGGACGAAATACGTCCTTTTGGATGGCTGAAGCCATAAGCCACACCAGCAGAGGGGGGCTGATAGGTGGGAGGGAGAAATGTGTAGAAAAA